CTTGATTTCATTTTCAGATGGTTCATTGTTCATATACAGAAACACTGTCGACTTTTGAGTGTTGATTTTGTATTCTATAACTTTACCAAATTCATTTATTAGTTCTAACAGGCTTAGGTGTAGTCTGTAGGGATTTCTATATTTAAGATCTTGTCATCTGCAAAAAAAGACAATTTAACTTCTTCTTTTGCCATTTGGATGCCTTTTATTTCTTTCTCTTGCCTAAATGCTCTGACAAGGACTTCTAGTACTATGTTGAATAGAAGTGATGAGAGTGGGCATCCTTGTCTTATTCCTGATCTCAGAGGAAAAGCTTTCAACTTTCCACTGTTAAGAATGATATTAGCTGTGGCTTGTCATATGTGGCCTTTATTGTGTATATTCATTCTATACCTTATTTGGTGAGGGGTTTTTTGTGACATGATATTGAATTTTGTCAAATGCTTTTTCTGCATCTATTGAGATGACCATATGGTTTTTGTCTTTCATTCTCTTAATGTGGTGTATCACATTGATTGATTTCCATATGTTGAAACATCCTTGCATCCCAGGGACAAATCCCACTTGATTGTGGTGAATGATCCTTTTAATGCATAGTTGAATTCAGTTTGCTAGTATTTTGTTGAGGATTTTTGCAAATATGTTTATCAGGGATATTGGCCTATACTTTTCATTTCTTGCAGTGTCCTTGTCTACTTTTGGTATGAGGATAATGCTGACCATGTAAATGAATTTGGAAGTATTCGCTCTTCTTTAATTTATGAAAGAGTTTGAGAAGGATTGGTCTCAGTTCTTTAAATGTTTGGTAAAATTTAGCAGTGAAGCCATCAGGTACTGGGCTTTTCTTTGGTGGTAGACTTTTTATTACTGATTCAATCCCCTCACTCGTTATTGGTCCTTTCAGATTTTCTATTTCTTCACGATTCAGTCTTGGTAGGTTGTATGTTTCTTAAATTTATCTTGATCACAAAGATAGTAAATGTAACTTTAGCAAAATTATATTCATAGTAAATCTAATACACAAGTAATATAAGTTGCAATTTCTAATTGCACAAAATAATTTTAGTGAAGTTAGATAGCCTGTTCATATATTAACCTTACATTAAATATTCAAGGAAAACATTTCAGATAAGATTTGGCAAATTATGTGTTTATGGTGTCTTTATAAGTTGCAATTTCTAATTGCACAAAATAATTTTAGTGAAGTTAGATAGCCTGTTCATATATTAACCTTATATTAAATATTCAAGGAAAACATTTCAGATAAGATTTGGCAAATTATGTGTTTATGGTGTCTTCTTTTCCTGCTGTAGTTTAAAGATTGTTAAATGACTTCATGTAATATAAAATAGTATCTTGATTGTGAAGCTCTGCCTTTTAAGTTACCATATTTTGATTATTTTAGTGAGAGTTATAAGTTGCTAAAATAATCATCAGGTTTTTATGGTATGACATCCTTTTAAATAATGACAGACTATTTTATATGATTTAATTTATACTAAAACATCAAGAACTGATATGTTTCATATTTTAGATCATATTAGTGAAAACTAATAGAATTAGGCTCTGGAAGAAAACATGAAAAAGAGACCACACTAATTCAATAAAACATTGTAATATATTCCAGAACATCCCTACCTGCAGCTTTGCACATTTCCCACCAACCCGTGTCCGAACTGTGAATGTACTATAATGAGATTTGGGGGAGCGAGCTCTGCAGTTCTTCTCCCATTAGAGAGATTGCTGGAGGAAGTTGAATTGCCAGGCCTGCACAACATGATGTTTCAAAACTTCCCTTTGTCATATGAAAGATAAAGGCATAGGGAGAAGTGTTACATGAAAGATAAAGTAATAACACCTAAGACTAATGCTGGGTTAGGATTTTTTTTTTTAGCTTCTTAAAAGGCTTCAGACTTGTGGTCAGTAGAAACATCCATGAGCCTATTTGTCCTAAAGGATACAGTGGACCTAGTGAAGTTCCTCTTAGCATTTAATTAGGTTTCCTGTAATTGCTTTAAGTAAAAGGCGGGAATGAAACCTTGAGGTTATCATCTTGGGACACAAAATATTTGTGTGTGGTTTTAATATCCTGAGCCCATTTGTTGCTACTCTGCATTTTAGAAAGAGCCATTATGGTTCTAAGGAAATACACACGGAAGGTTTATCAGCCCATCGGTGACTGTGAATTTACTGCAACAACCTTAAAGGAAGAGTTTTGTTTCCAGTAACTGAATTTCTGCATAAAGAGAGACTGTATAAAAAGGAAAACAGGCAAAACCTTTAAACACCAGAGAGTGGGGAAAAAAGAAGAGAGAGAAGGAGATGCGGGTTGAGGGAAGAGGCTGTATTCAATCTTTCCACAGACTTCTTGATGTCAGAATAATGAAAAAATTACAATAAAATAGAAAAATGCAAGGCCTGAGAGGGACCAGGAAAGAGGGAGAAATGTATTGTTATTTGTTAACACCTTAGGATTTTTGCTGTGAAGATTGTTGGAATAGTTGGACACTGACTAAAATAATATACTAATCTCTCTTTCATAGAAGGGTGAGGGATTGGGATATGCCAGTTACTTGAAAAATCTTTTTAAACTGATTACTATGTAAACATAGACATATTACTAATTTTCAGAACATTAAAATAATTAATAAACTCTTTACAATAGAGTTGCCCTTTCAGGATCTTGCCCTGCCTTGGGATTATAAAACCCAATTTCCTGGGCTTCATTTCAGTTCCGGGAGTTTTTAGTGAACCTGGTAGTTTAGTAAGGCCTAGTAGTTTCTATGACTCATGCCACTTCAGATCTTGATAGGAAATATTGTTTATTCCCCCAGAGGGACAGCACCTACTACTATTGGGTGGTTTTTAATTTCCCTAAGTGCTCTTACCCCTTTGAACATTTCCTAGGTGTTAGAGAAAGTTCTGGAATACCCTTTTATAGGGTTTCCAGAAGATACACCCTCCCCTGTCAACTACGATCGAGGATTTTAAGAAATTATAACTTTTAAAACTTTTTAAACTCTAAATAATTGAATATATATATATATATGCACACATATAGGAGTACATACACTTACACACATGTATATACATGCACACATAAACACATATATGTATTTTATATATCATAATTATAAAGTGTTTTATATATGATATTTATTTATATATATTATCACTAAAGTGTTTTAAGCAAGTAGATGACAAGATCAGATGATTATATAAATGGTATATATCTATATAATATATACCTAAGATATCTTTATAATTATATATATCTTTTATAAATATATAATTATCATCTGAACATGTCATCTCCTTGCTTAAAACACTTTAATCGTACCATAGCTCTTAATCCAAAATCTTAAACATTGTGTACAACAGTGGTTCTTAAACATAGCACGCATCAAAATTACTGGGCGGGCTTGTTAAAACAGTTTGCAGGGTCCCATCCTCAAAGTTTCCTATTCAGTGAGTCTGGAGTGGGGCCTGAGAATTTGCATTTCCAACAGGTTCTCAGGTGGTGCTGCTGAAGCTGCTCCGAGGACCACACTTAGAGAACTACTAGTCTACATCACTATACAAACTGGACCCTTTCTTGTCTCTAGCTTCATCTCATGCTACTGTTCTCAATGTCCAGTACTCAGTTTTTTCCTGGGTTCTCAGTCTCCTAATTCTCTTTCTTGCTTCTTCCCATATGTTCTGTCCCAAATAAAATTTAACCAGGGTAATTCATATTGGATCTTTCATGCTAGACTGGGTTTCATTGTTTTTCACTTTCGTCCCTATACATCTCTTTTGCAACATTGAACGCGATTGTACCAAAGTAATAAACTGTATGTTCATAGAAGCTCTGTTCACAATAATACAAGATCATTAAGGGCAATGACTATCTTTACTCATCAGAATTTCACAAGTGCGCAGTACAGTATTTTTTACATACTTGATACTTAATAAATATTTGTTCAATGAATAAGTGAATGAATAAGTTGATAAATAAACAGTGCAAAGCAATACATTTAACCATTCTTACTGTGCAATACTTGACCCTATGGGTGTTCTGCTAGTCCTCTCAATGGACACTCCATTCTAGAAGTGTATGCATTCAATCTCTAAAACTAAAACTTGCCCACATATATTGTTTGGATAATACCTTTTTCTTAGTGCAGAGGCACATTGCAGAATAAATCTCAGAAACAGCCTTGATATTTCAAGATAAATCCCCCTAAAGTGATAACCCCAGATTCTTAGTTCAATTTTTGTTATCCAGAATTATGTAATACTATGAAATAAATGGCATTTTAGCTGGAATCCACTTTATCTTTAAAAGGATTTTAGTTACATTACAATAGCAGAGAAACATTTGGACTTTCAAAATATTATACATGAAAACCTTAAAGTTGTATATTCTTTGGATAGGATACCAGAGGTTTATTAGTGGGGGCTAGTATTTTTTTCAAAGAAAAGGATGAGCCATTATACTTATAACACAACTGTTAAAGTAATTTAGATGTTAAATAACCACCACAATGACTATGATTTTAGGTTATTCTCTCTCATTTCACATGAAGAATTAGGAAGATTTAGCTGTGGTAAAGATGCGTACAGCACATGGGTATCCTACCCACCACCTATATAATTGAGGTGGAATCCTTAGAAGATGTGAAACCCGAGTTCACATTTGAATATACAGAGGGAGATAACTCGGTGGGAGGTGGATATTAGCAAGCTTTATGAAGAAAGATGCTATTTTGTGGATTGATAGATCCACTCCACTTTCATCTTCAGATGAATCCGGAAGATTTGAAATAAAAAATAAAAGAATGGAAAGGTTGTTGAGTGAAGTAACTGGATCCAGAAGAAAATCAGAGGAGATGAGAGACAATATCTGGGATGATGATCTGCACGTCAAGATGGATCATTGGGGGAATAACATGAGGTGATGATTTACATTTCTTTAGCAAAAGTCTTCTCTTGACTTCAGTCTTCTTTTCTCTGGTCAGGTCTCATTGTCCGGGAAGTAAGCATTGAGATTTCACGCCAGCAGGTGGAAGAACTGTTTGGGCCTGAGGACTACTGGTGCCAGTGTGTGGCCTGGAGCTCAGCGGGCACCACCAAGAGCCGGAAGGCATATGTGCGCATCGCATGTGAGTCCCTGCACGCAACACTTTGGGTTTCAGAAGCTGAGGGGATATAGGAACGTTTTAGACTGACTGCTCCAGTGTCAAAGAGCTGTAGTCAAAAACTGCTCCCAGGTTTCTGCATTTGGACCACACATTCTTCTGAAGTTACCTGTATATCATTTCATTTTTTATTTCAAGGCACTGAGTAGTTTTCTTCAGGGATGTGAAAGAATTAGTGCTACTTTCAAAAGATTCCAATTTTTAAAAATCTTTTAGTAATTAGCTATGGGAAAACCAAGTATATTCCTTTTGTGAGTTTATTCTGCCCATTTGTTAAGAGAATGTTGAGTAATTTTTCTTTGGGAATAGAGATTACCCAGTTAAAACTTCCTATTTTCAAACTGTTCCAGGGCATTGGAACATGGCACTGTTTTTGAAATTGTGTTAGTTTCTAGAATATTCATATTCTGGAAGAGGTTTAAAGGTGCCTCACAAAAAAGGGTTCTATAATGAAATAAATGTGGAAAGTACATTTTTGACAAACTTATAGAGGTTTATTCATTGCAAAACTCAGATTATTTAATATTCTAATGTGCATATTATCCCCAAGAGGGAGATAGAACCCTTTTCTCAAAGAGTACTCTTCACATCTTGAGCAGTATGGAAGCGACTTGTTTCCATATTGAGAAATTTTCTTGTGTAAGAAAGAGATCACCGAAACCCATATGTTTTATTTTCTGATCCCCTTTGCACCTCTACATTTTATAAATTCTATTTTGTGGTGAATCTCAGTATCAGTTACATCTAGTATGTCACTAAATTCCAGCAATCCTGGCTCTGATGCTTCTCCCAATCCTGTACTCATCCCTTCCTTTCCTTCTTGATCTAGATCTGAACCACTGCAAACGTATCCCAGTTAGTTTCCAGGCTCAGGTCTGCTCTGGCTCTGATGCTTCTCCCAATCCTGTACTCATCCCTTCCTTTCCTTTTTGATCTAGATCTGAACCACTGCAAACGTATCCCAGTTAGTTTCCAGGCTCAGGTCTGCTCTCTGTTCCAGTCCTTCCTTTATGTTACCACAAATGCCATCTTTCTAAAACTCAGGTCTCATCTGACCTCACATCCACCCTACTTCAAATTGTACAGTGACTTGTGAGGTAAAGTGAAAATTCTGTAGGAATTTTGGCATATGTTGTTGTATTAGTTTGCTAGGGTTGCTGAAACAGAATACCATAGACTGAGTGGCTTAAACAACAAAAATTTACTTTCTCACCGTTCTGAAGGCTAGAGTCGAACATCGAGGTGTTAGCAGGTTTGGCTTCTCCTGAGGCTTTTCTCTTGGGCTTGCAGATGGCCACCTTCTCACTGTGTCCTCACGTGGTCTTTCCTCTGGGGGCGAGCACATACCTGGTGTCTCTCTGTGTGTCCAAATTACCTCTTCTTATAAGAACGCCAGTCAGACTGGATGAGGGTCCACCCTAACAGCCTCATTTTAACTTGGTCAACTCTTTAAAGGCCTTATCTCCAAATATAGTCCCATTCTGAAGTACCGAGCGTTAGGGCTTCAACATAAGAATTAGGGGAAGGGGACACAATTCAGCCCACAGCAACCACATTTCATGGTTTTCATATCCAACCTATGTTTCCAGCTCTAGCCACTAAGGATTTCTACATTTTAGTCACACTATATTAGAAATACTTTGAATTCCATGCCTTTCAGTTACTGTTCATGCTGAAGGGTTTCACCCATGTCTTATTACTTCCCTTCATAATTTTAAAAAATTCATTTATTCGACAATATTTAGTGAGGATTCACTCAGTTCTTGGGTATAATTGTAGGTATTGGGAATGGTGCTAGAAACAAATCATATAAGTATCCTCGCCTTCATGGAGCTTATGTTCTGGTAAGGAAAAGCAAACTTGAAATGAAATTAATAATAATTAGGTATAGAGCAGATGGTAAGTGCTGTCTAGAAAAAATAAAGCAGGAAAAGAGAATACGTAGTGCCAGGGGAAAGTGATCAGGGAAGGTTTCCTGAAGACGCTGACAGCTGAGTAGACCTGAAGGAGAGGTGGAGAGTTTCAGGCAGAGGGAACAGCAAGTGACACAAGAAAAAATACCCTGAAGCAGTAATTTATATAGAACAGAGGTTTATTTGCTCACGATTCTGGGACAGCTGCATCTGGCACAGCCTCAGGCTGCTTCTGCTCATGGCAGAAAGTGGCAGGCAGCCGGCAGGTACAGGCAGGTCACATGGCGAGAGGAAGCAAGGGGTGGGGGGAAGGTGCTGGGGTCTTTTAAACAACCAGCTCTCAGGGAACTAATAGAGCGAGATCTCACTCATTACTCCCACCCCTGAGGGAGAGCATTATTCCATTCATGAGGGATCCACCCCCATGACCCAAACAGCTCGCAGCACTGCCAAGTTGAGGATCAGATTTCCACATGAGTTTTGTGGGGGACGACGCGTCCAACCTTTCTGAGCATAGGAGTCTGTAGGTGTTGGGACATCTCTGGTTTTTTGTATGAGGCAGGAACACTTTGGAATGTTTTCAGCAGAGAATAAATAAAAACTCCTGCTCTGACTTCCGTTAGCAGAATCATCTGCCCACTGTGCTGAGTAGAGCAGGACAGGCAGGGGGAGAAGCAGGAAGGCAGAGAATGGAGGCAGTGGAGGCAGGGAGACCAGGGTTCTAGATATAGTTAAAGATAGAGGTAACAGCTTTTGTTGAGAGACTGGCTGTGGGAAAAGGGAGAGAGAGAGAGGAGACGATGACTCAAAAAGCCTGAGCACGTTGAAGGATTTTTTGCAGATGTCTGCAGTGAAGCCCCTCCTGTCCCGTGGTCAGAGGATGGCACTCTTTTCTCAATACGTTCAGAACAGCTTGTCTATGTGCTTAATATAGGACTGGTCTCATTTGAATTATACTCACTTTTTGTAATGTCTGTGTTTCATGCCAGTGAGTTAGTTCCTTGAGATCAATAATTCTGTTCTACTTAAGTTTATATCTTTAGTACTTAGCACAATGTCTGGAACATCATAGATGTTTAATAAGTTTGTTTGAATTAAAACCGCTATAAAGAATTCCCAGTGAAGTTTATTAAAATGCTCTATGTTAATCTTTCCTCTCTGAATATGTCTAAAGAGATGTTCTATGTGTCTTAAGTGGATTCTCCAGGAAACAGCCTGTGAGATGGAGACATGCATGCAGGAGATGTATTGAAGAGTACTCTTAGGAACAGTGTCTGTGCAGGAATGAAGGCAATTGGGCAGAGGGAGCCATTAAGCCACAGGGCAGATACAACAAAGGATGGCCTTACTGGGAGCTCTGGAGCTTGGATGGCCCATCAGAGTTGTCCCACCTCGAGACAAAGGTGATGAGGAGGCCTTGATTGTCCCACATAGACAATAGATGCCGACTCCTCCTTTACTCCCCACCCCCACCAGTATATGTGACCTGGGCCAAGTCAGCTCTCCTCAACTAAGGGCAATTCCAGGTGAGAGAGGCTGTGGGCCTTCCCCACTGCTACTCCCACCAGGCCTGAAAGGGGGTCTTGGTGGCATGCCACAACACACGCTACATTTGTGGTCTTCTACCACAACTCCTGAAGAATTGATTTTATGAATTATAAAGAAAAAAAGATACTTTTAGTCATTTTAAAAAGGAAACAAAAAACTAATTGTTTTGGTCAAAGACTTAAATGAATCCCAGATCAGCCTCAAATTGTAATTGAAAGATATACAATAGTAGAATATTATGCCTTTATCTTTCATTTCTATGTATTTATTTATTTTTTTATTATTTTTTTTATTATTATTATTATTTTTGTCTTTTTTGTGACCAGTAAGGGGATTGCAACCCTTGGCTTGGTGTCACCTGCACCGCACTCAGCCAGTGAGTGCACCGGCCATCCCCATATAGGATCTGAACCCGCGGCGGACGCTCCCAGCGCCGCACTCTCCCGAGTGAGCCACGGGGTCGGCCCTCTATGTATTTATTAATATCAAGCACAATAAATATTTTAAATTGCCAGTCTACACTCCATACTAAATTGATTTGCCTAAAGCTGACGTTTTAGGGCTGCATAGTTCCAAACGATGAACTTACAGTTAATAAGCTTTCAATTTGCATTGATTTTTAGAGAAGATTGTTGTGCCAGTTTTGTATATAGAGAGATATATAAATTACTATATATGTGTATATATATTTATCTTTTTTCTCTACTTAAAAATTAAGTGTATATAAGTATAAAACCTCCATCCTTCTTTGCAACATATTCTCTAAACTTGCTATTTACTTCATGGCTTTTAAACAAAGTTTTACATTTTCAAATAATGAAAAACAAACTCTTCTTCTATTAAGAAGTTAATTTAACACAGCCCCTTTTTACCCTCATGTAATAATACTTAGTAGCAGTTTGCCTATAATTCCATAATTAACTGAACTCATTATATGTGACCAAGGAACACCATCAAATATATAGAGATTTACTCATATAGATATCCATCATGATGAAAAACAAAAGAGGTTAAGTGTCAGATTCTGTCAAGATTAATCCCTACCAAGCTGGTCCTTGCTAATGTTGCAGAAAGCTTGTACATTTTCTAGTCTGCCCTGTATCAAGTGAGCTGTGGTCTTTGCCCTGTAGTACTTGACAGATGGCCATCACATAAACTGCAATTAAAGTTTAAATTTGTCACAGGTGAGGATAACACAGTGCAAAGGTTAAATGAGTACAATTACTTGCTTACCTAATTATTTTTATGCTCATTAGGTGTACTATGGAGGGGCCCATAGCTCTTCATGAAAAAGCTCTGTTTTTAGAAATTTATAAAGCAGAAATGAATAGTGACTATTCATTTAAGTTTGCTTGCAGTAGCTCATACAATCAAACCATACATAATGTAAAAATAAGTTTGTGAGAATCAAGGCAGAGGAAAAAATGGAAATATGAAAATTAGGATTCAGCCAGGCATAAGCTGAGAATATAACATGCCTTCTCTAAAATCTACACATTTACT